CCCAGCCCCCCCCCATCCCTTGGCCCCGCCCAGGCTCTACTGGCTCCACCCTATCTGGCCACACCTCCATGCCCCAGCCCTTGGCCCCACCTCCTATATGCCTCCGCCCCATCCCCTGACCCCAACCTAGCTCTACTGCCCCCTTTTTGCTGGCCCCACCCACTTGGCCTACTGGCTCTGCCCTGCAGCCCCATCCTACCCGGTGGGACAAGTCAATGACACGGGCCTCAGCGTATTCCATCTTGAGGATGCTGTTCTCCACCAGGAACTTGCTGCGCAGGTCATCCAGGTAGGCAGCGCGCATGGGGTCGGTTGCCTGAAGGGGGCACCAGTGAGGGGGAGCAGGGAGCCACCTGCAGCCCCACCCCCTGCTCAGGCCCCGCCCCCTGCTCACCTTCAGGGCCCCGAAGTAGCGGAGGGTCTCACGCTCATACACCAGGGGGTCCAGGGCCCTCATTAGCAGGATGATGGTAAGCAGGCACCCTGTGAGCAGCAAGCATGCAGGCGTCTAGGCGCGCCTGCCGGGCCGGTCCCACATTCCTCCCAGAGGGAGAAAGAACCCAGGTGTTCGGGCACCTGGCTGTCCCTGCTGCAACACCCCGGACCCCACGCGCTTCCCAGAGCAGGGAACCGAACCCAGGTCTCTGGGCCCCCCGCTGGAGAGGTACCCACACTTGTTGTCAGGCTCCAGCGCCTGCAGCTCCTTGCATGACTCCAGCTCGGCCTGCAGCACCGTGGATTTCTCCACCGACAGCTCGCACCTGGGGGCAGGGCCTCCGTGAGATGGACAGGCGGGGCCATGCCAAGTAGAGGGGCGGGGCTTGCATGCCAAAGAGGCTCCCAAGGGCAAAGCTGCCCAGGGGGGCCGGGTAGTGCTGAAAGGGCAGAGCCTGTAGGAGGCAGCGCTAACCAGGTGGGGGACCAGCTACGGGAAGAAATACTGAGGGGCAGGCTAATACAGGGAGAGAATACTTTAAATATGGGAGGAATACTGAGGGGTGAGACCATACAGTCTAGGGATGTGGTTGTCATGGGGGACCTAAACTACCCTGACGTCTGCTGGGAGGAGCAGTCAACCAAATCCAACTGTTCACATAGGTTCTTAACCTGCGTGCGGGACCTTCACCTAACGCAGGAGGTATACAGTCCCACTAAGGGGAATGCCTTACCGGACTTGGTGTTGGCTATGGGGGAAGACCTGGTAGGGGAGCTGCAGATTTGTGGTCACCTTGGCGACAGTGACCACCAATCAATCAAATTCACCATATGGCATAGAGTGGGTAAGGTAACTAGTAGGGTGGAAGTGCTTGACTTTAGGAAGGCTAACTTCAGTGTGCTTAGGAGTCTAGTCAATGATGCACTGCAGAAGAGTATTGGTGAGACGGGAGTCCAGGAAGGGTGGTCGTTCCTAAAGGAAGCAATCCTTTGGGCACAGAGGGAGACTATCCCAGTACGATGGAAAAGTGGGAAAGGAGCCAATAAATGTCCTTGGCTAAACAGGGAAAACCAGGGGAGCCTAAGGGCAAAAAATAAGGCATACAGGCGGTGGAAGTAGGGGGAAACTACCAAGGAGGAGTATACCTACTTGGCCCGCACTTGCAGGGAGGCAGTTAGAAAGGCCAAAGCAACTACAGAGCTGAGGCTGGCAACACAAATTAAAGAAAACAAAAAGTCTTTTTTTTAGGTATGTAGGGAGTAAAAAGAAGGCGCGGGGCAGCAAAGGACCCCTACTGAACAAGGAGGAGCAATCAGTGACAGAGATGGGGGACAAGGCTGACCTATTCAATGAGTTTTTTGCCTCAGTGTTCCTGAACAGGGCTCAAGATAAGTCTCCTAATGGGTTCTTAGATGGGCATCAGAGGGACAGCAGCCCACCAACTGTTAATGCTGATTTGGTGCAGAGTCACTTGGATGGTCTGGATGTGTTCAAGTCAACAGCCCCGGATGAGCTGCATCCAAGGGTACTGAAGGGTTTGGCCAGTGTCATACCAAAACCAGTGGCACAGCTGTTTGAGCGCTCAGGTCAGGTTCCGGAGGACTGGAAAAGGGCCAAAGTGGTCCCTATTTTCAAGAAGGGGAGGAAGAAGGATCCAAGTAATTATAGGCCAGTCAGTCTCACCTCCATCCTTGGAAAGGTCTTTGAAAAGATTATGAAGGATCATATTTGTAGGAGTCCAGCGGGAAAAATAATGCAGCAGGGAAACCAGCATGGATTCATAGCAGGTAGATCATGCCTGACCAATCTGGTTTCGTTTTATGACAGGGTCACAAAATGCTTAGACGCAGGAGTAGAGGCGGCTGTCATTTTCTTTGACTTTAGCAAGGTCTTTGATATGGTATCTCGTCCTATTCTCATAAATAAATTGAGAGGCTGTGACACAGATGTTTACATGGTCTGGTGGGTGGTAAATTGGCTTAGCGGTTGCACCCCGAGCGAGGTTGTTTCGGTATTGACCTGGAAGGGAGTGGGCAGTGGGGTCCCGTAGGGTTCGGTCCTTGGACCGATACTCTTTAATGTCTTCATCAGCGACTTGGATGTGGGTGTGAAGTGTACTCTGTCCAAATTTGCAGATGATACTAAATTGTGGGGTGAAGTGCACACTCCGGAGGGTAGGGGACAATTGCAGGCAGACCTGGACAGGTTAGGAAAGTGGGCGGTACACAATAGGATGCAGTACCACAAGGACAAGTGCAGAGTGCTGCACCTAGGGTGCAAAAATATTCAGCACATCTACTGGCTGGGAAGTGACCCTCTCAGCAGCACAGAGGGGGAAAGGGATCTCAGAGTCATAGTGGACTCCAAGATGAACACGAGTCAGTGTGATGAAATCATCAGCAAAGCTAACCGCACTTTATCAGGCATCAGCAGATGCATGACAAGCAGATCCAAGGAGATGATACTTTTTATACAGCATTGGTCAGACCGCAGTTGGAATACTGTATCCAGTTTTCAAGAAGGATGTTGATAGACTTGAGAGGGTCCAGAGGAGGGCCATTTGTATGGTTAGGGGCTTACAGGACAAGCCCTATGAGGACAGACCGAGGGATGCGGACCTCTTCAGCCTCCACAAGAGAACGCTGAGAGGTGATCTTGTGGCCGCCTACAAATTCATTAGGTGGGGTGCAGCAAGGAATCGGAGATGCTCTGTTCACCAGGGCACCTCTTGGGCTAACAAGGAACAATGGTTACAAACTGACAGAGAGCAGATCTAGGCTAGATATCAGGAAAGACTTTTTCATGGTAAGGGTGGCCAAAATTTGGAATGGGCTTCTAAGGGAGGTGGTGCTCCCCCCTACCTTAGGGGTCTACAAGAGAAGGCTGATAGGCATCTGGCTGGGGTCATACTCTTTCCTATCTGGGCAGGGGGTCGGACTTGATGATCTGTTGAGGTCCCCTCCGACCTTAGGATCTATGAATCTATGAATAACATCAGGGGGTGGAACCCAAATACTCTACTGAGGTGGGGCTCTCTTGAATGGGTGGAGCTATCCTGACAGGCATACTGTGAGGGGGCTGGGACCTTTCCCTCTCGTCTCCTACCTGAACACCTGCTCCTCAGTGACAGAGTCCCGGTACCAGCAGTCCTTGCGGCCTGGGGGGTGGAGCACAGGGAGAGTGAGAGAGGGTGGGGCCTTAGCCCAGGGCAGGGGGTGGGGCTTGGGGACGGGGTTACCTTTGAAGAGAACGCACTCCTTCTGGCACTGCCCGGGTGCCCAGATGACCCGGAAGGTGTGTTGTGGCCAGTGGTCATTGAGAGCCGAGGCTGGGAGGTCACAGAGCTAGGGGTGCCGGGGTCAAGGAAAGAAGTACTCACTGCTAGACTCCAACTGCCTCTGTGGAACCCAGGCGTCCGGGCTCCCTGACCCCCTGCTCCACTCCCCCTAGCCTCCCAGAGCTGGGACGGGACCCAGGCATCCAGGCCCCCAGGCTTCCTGTTCCATACCAGTAGAGATCCCAGGTATCCTGGCTCCCATACCCACCCTGTTCTAACCCACCAGACCCTGCTGCCCTCCCAGAGCTGGGAGGGAACCCAGGTGTCCAGGTTTTGTGGATACCCATATGACTCCAGGGTGGTTTCTCCCATCAGGTGTGTGCCACTCCACTGTCAGGGGGGCCTCATCAGCGAGCAGAATGAGGCCATGGGATCCAGGTGTCACCTGCCAGAAGGGACATACATGGGACCCCTGAGTTAGTGCTGCAGGGACCCGGCACCTCCCCTCCCACCCGTCCCTACTACAGCACTCACCCTCACAGGCTGGGAGAAGGCCACAGCTAGGCAGGCATCCTCTCGGTTCACATAGATGCAGTGGATTGTGGGCTCCAGGTCGGCTGTGGGGTGGGGAGAGAGGGGGAAGAGACTGGGGGTAGCAGTACTCAAGTATTGCTGGCCACCCCAGGCAAAGTTGCCAAAACAAGACACTTTTTTCTTACTGATGATCTGCAAACTTTTTACTGACAATTCAATATTTTTACTGACAGATTTTTTTTTTTAAAACTAATGCGCATCATGTAGAGGCAACCCTTCAGCCAGAGCCTGTCCTGCTGCCAGTGGGAAGAGCTAGTGTCAAGTTTAGGGGTTTAAAAAAGATTTGGTTGTCAATAATCTTTTTTTTTTTTTCCACTGATGCTCTGCAAGCTTTTTAGTGGCATGTTTTTATTGACAGATGTTTTACATCCTATAAATACCAACCCCTGCCCTGCTGCCTGCCCCAGCAGCTAGGGTCAAATTTAGGGATTGAAAAAACAAGCTGCAGTTTTTTTCTTTTACTGCCAATAGTATTTTTTTTTACTGACAGATGTTTTACATTATGTAAAGGTAACCCTTCATCCAGGTCCTGCCTTGCTGCCAGGACCCAGAGAAAAGGGCTGGTGTGAAATGTAGGCGGGGTTAACATCAACCATTATAAAAAGTTTGGGTTCAGTTAAAAAATTGTGGTAAGGAACATGTTACTGGGTTGGCAACACAGCTGGATAGCAACAATAACAATGGTTTTACATCCTGCTGCCTCCACCCCAGGTGTCCCCTATTTACCCCCACATCCTGCTGGCCCCTCTCTGCTCATCCCTCTCTGCTCATCCCAGCTTGGACCAGAGGATTTCCATGCCCCACCCCCTTCCAACACTGCCACTGGCGGGAGATGGAGGGTCCCAGAGGGGACTGGAGTGCTGTGTAGGCAGGATTGACCTGATCTCTGGCCTTATGAGATTCAGGACCCCCTTGTCCCCCGCCCAGAGCATCCTTGAGGTTATTAGGAGTCTCAGATATGGATTGGAGATTACTGATAGGACAGCAGACTGTGCTAGATGCTTTGCTAAGTTCTCTGGAGGAGGCCACTGCCTTCCTCTGGTCTCTGGGCAGGGTACAGATATGGGGTGTCTCTCACCACTGAGGGGTAACACTGTATATGGCTGGGCCGGGCCAGGTACCAGCAGGGGATGCTGGGAGGACTCGTGGATTGCCCCATAGCACCTTGGGCTGCCTGCAGTGTGCTCCCAGCCTGCAGTGCTGGTGCCCGAAGTCCTACCTCGACCCAGCAGCCAGCGGTGATAGAGCCAGGCGCTCTGGTCATTGGGGTCTGTGAAGAAGGCGTTCTGTACCAGCTCTAGCTCTGAGGGTGGGAGAGCAAAGAGACAAGGGGGGGCAGGGGGGCGTTACAGGGGCTTGTCTTCAGGGGGCACCAGTTCTGGCCCTGTCCCAAGATCGACAGGCCACACCCAGGCACTGGGAACTGCCAGAATGTGCTTCACCCGGCCAAGACTGTCCTCAGGGAACATCCTCCCCACCCAAGCCTGTGGGGGATGCGACTGCCAAAAGCAACACCCAGGACCAGGCCAGCAGCGGAGAACAAAGCCCCAAGCGCTGGCTGCCAGCCCTGGTCCCACCCCTTCCTCTGTCCAATGAGATAGCAATCTGAGAGCTGAGAAAGAAGCCAGGCATCCAGGTCCCCTGCCCCCACCCACCAGGCCCCTCTTCAGGCAGTCCCAGAAGCGTGTGTAGGACCTGGGAGTCCAAACTTTCCCCCCAGGCTGCTCAACCACCTTCCCCTTTCAGAGCTGAGAGAACCCAGGTGTCTGGGCTCCCATCTCCTACCCCCCAGCCCTCACTCCTCTCCCCCTGCCAGGGAGAACCCGGGTATCTGGACCATTCAACCCTCACTCCCACCCCCAGGTCGGCAGAGGAGGGGACTACCTCGCAGCAGGACATCCTCGGTGAGGCGGCCATGGTGCTGGGGGTCAGGGTGTAGCTGGGGCAGCAGGCAGCTGCGGTAATGCCAGGAAGAGTAGTTGGAGAAGTTGCGAGTGATGAGGCTGTCAGTGAAGCGCAGCTCATCCTCAGCCGGCACCTGGGCCCGCTTGGCAACAAAGCGCCGGTAATCCCAGCAGTGAACTACGGGGGTGCCAGAGAGACAGGGTCAGGGTTAGCCCCTCTCCATCCACCAGGGTCAGAAATTGTGAAGCGGGAGGAGCTGGCACATGGCAGATCAGGGCATCGGGGCTGGTGGTGGGATGGGGGAGCACGGGTTAAAGCAGCAAGGACTTTGGGAGAGCATGGGGTCAGAGGTCATGAGGCAAGGTCAGGGCACTGTGGGGTCACTGTAGAACAGTGGGGTCAGAGGTCATGGGCCCAAAGAGATGAGAGCATGTGATGTGAGACTGGAGTGATAGAGGTCACAAGGTGGGCTTGGGCTGTGGGGGTCAAAGGTCGTGCTGTCCAGTGACCCTGCAGGATCAAAGTTCAGAGATCACAGTACGATGGACCCTGAGATCTGGGGTCCTGGTTTGCAACGTGACCTGCAGGGTCAGAGGTCAGGGACATGTCATGTGACGTGGCCTCGTGGGGTCTGAAGGCACAGTGGGCAATGAGGTCAGGGGGTCGCTGTATGCCAAATGAGTGCAGGTCAGAGGTCAGGCCTGTGAAGCATGAGGTGATGCTGTGGAGATGGAGGTCAGGGGTCATGGTGTAGGAGCGGCCATGCAACTCACAGGTGGTGGCATAGTAGTGAGAGGTAGCAGTGTGGGAGTAACCCCACAGGGTCAGGGCTGGTGGTGTGACCCAGTGTGGTCAAACATCAGGGTGCCGGTGCAAGGGTCAGAGGTTGGGGGGGTCAGAGGTCAGACTCACAGTTGCGCTCATCACTCTCCAGGAACCGGGCGCACAACTCCAGCTCACGGGCCCAGTCGGGCTGGGGCGCCCGCTCTAGCACCCAGCACCGGTGGTGCCAAGTCCCGTAGGACTTGGGGTTCACCCGCAGGCAGGACTCCAGGAAGCCCAGCTCCCCTTGGCACAGCGCCTGCATCTCCTCGGGGGACCTGCCAGGGGCGGAACCAGTCAGAGCCCCGCCCCATCAAACCCCACCCCATGTGACCCCGGCCCTCTCCCCGTGGCCCCACCCTGCTCACCCCTCCTCCTCCAGGTGCAGGAAGATCTCTCGGCGGAAGTTCCAGAGCGTGGCGAAGTCGGGGTTGGCCCCCAAGATCTGGCTCGTCAGCTCTAGCCCCTCCTTGTCCAGCTGCCCCAGCCTCCTCTGTGTGGGGCAAAAGGGCATGGGGTCAAAGGGCATCCTTCCTAGGCATTCTGTGCCCTGCCTGATGGTGGTCAGGAGTCACCAGTTATAAGTCGTGCCAATGGTATTTCCCATGGGGAGGCGGGGTCAGGGGTTGAATCCCAAGGAAAGTTGAGGGGGATCAAAGGCTGATGAGGGTCAAAGGTTGCTCTATGTCCTGGTCAAGGGTTAATGCTCATCAAGTGAACCCATCCCTGACAGTCCAGGGGCCAAAGATCAACATGGCACCACATTGTTTTCACAGGCCTGACAGAAGTCAGTAGGGATCAGAGGTCGCTATTCACAATGGAGTCCAGAGGGTAAAGGGCTAGTGTTACAAAAGCATCCTGTTGCTCCCAGGGCAGAGGAGAGGTCATGCTCTTTACTTGGGAGAAGTTGAGGGTTCAAAGGTCATCATGCACCTATGAGATAAAGCCCTGGGGTCAAAGGGCGTGTGCTCCAAACCTCAGCTTGGGAAAGGTCAGGGGTCAAAGTTCAGGTTGGCTACTAGCCATAGCAGGGAGGGTAGAAATCAGGTCTCAAGGAGAGTGTTCCAGATCAAGGATCAAAGGTCAACGTCCCTCCGGCCATGACAGAGAATGACCAAGGTCAGAGGTCAGAAGAGGGGTCAGAGATCAAATGCCAGAACATACTGCAGGAGCCAAAGGCCAGACCGCTACACAAGCCATGGTAGGGTAAAGGTTAGGGGTCAGATGTCATGTCAGCCCTGATGACCAGAGGTCAAAGGTCAAACTGGGGTAAGCAGGGTTACCTCCCACTCTCCGCCTCACCTTCTCAAAGATGGCCTCCGTGGTGGCCTTGTACTGGTGGAGCTTCTTCTCCCGCTCCAGGCGCTTGGCCTCTGCCTGCTCCTCCGTGGTCTTCACCTTCAGGCGGCCGTGCTGGGGAGGGGGCAGGCAGCGCTGGGGTAGCCCTGGGGGACGGGGGTCCCCAGCACAGACCCTGGGGGCTGCCCCCACCACTCGTACCAGCCCTGGACGCCCCTGGGACCCCGCCATGAAGGGGCAGGGGAGTCGGACTCACCATGATGGCTCAGCAATGGAGGCGCCAAGGGCAGGAACTGGGGTCCGGACACGGCGCCTGGGGGGAGAACGGGGGTGGGAGATGGGCACTGAATGCTGGGGGGCATCCAGGACTCAGGGAGGGATGTTGCAAAACCAGCAACATGAGAAAACCTGCGGGGGGAGTTGGCGGGGATTTGGCGGTGGTGGCGAGGGGCGAGGGTCGGGGAACCCAGGTGTCTGGCTGAGAAAGCAATGTCATGGGTGAAAAACCCAGGTGTTCGGGGGTCCCTGGTGGGGGACGTGCAGGGAAGGCAGCCAGGCATGCAGGGCCCACGGGGGGCATGGGGGGCATGCAGGGCGGTCAGGTGGAAGGAACCCAGGTCTCCCCTCCAGATTGCACCCCCACCCCAGTGCATTGTGGGATTAAGCAAGAGTTAACATTGGAGGCAGACCCCGCTCCCCCCCGACTGTTTAGCAACCTCCCTTTAGGATGTTCAATCCGGAGGCAGGGCCCTTTAATCAGTATTAAGACCCCTCCCCCCACGCGGGTTTCGGAATGGTCTCTCCCGCGGGAAGCCCTAATGGGGCGATACCAACCCGCCGGAGGCCGCGGGGGGCAGACAAGCGGGACAATCCCAAGTTTCCCCCACGGGGCGATACCAACCCGCGGGGTGAGCGGCAGGGCCGAGTGGAACCGTCCGGACGGGACGAGGAGGGGGGCCGGCCTGCGGCGCTGCAGGCTCCGCCGGGCGATACCAGCCACCGCGGACGCAGGGGGGGGTGGACTCTACCACCGCCGGACCGTAGAGATCAGCCCTCCAAATGAGAGAGCGGGTCTCTAGCCTTAAAGGGGCAGGATTTTGATAAATGCCCGGTGGCAAAAAAGGATTCACTTAGGATGGGGGTTAGGGGTGCAGACGCTTGGGTTTTTTTTCTGTGTCTAGAGGCGTGGATGTAGCACGGAAAGCAGAGGGGTGGGGGCTGGGAGCCCGGACGCCCGGGTTCCCTCCCAGCCCTGGGAGGGGCAGCAGGGTGTAGTGGTCAGAGCAGTGGAGGGAGCTGGGAGCTGGGACGCCTGGGTTCTCTCCTGGCTCCTGGACAGGAGTGGATCCAACCTGGGGAGCAGACGGGCGGGGCTGGGTTCCCAACTCACCTCGCCCTGCCCTGGGGCCTGGGTGTGTTTGGGGCCAGCCCCCTCCTGGCAGCCCCCGGGGGCATGGGCCGGGAGTGCCGCGCAGATGACTGGGGCCTGCCCAGCCTGACAGGGCTCGCGCCCCACCCAGACACCTGGGTTCCTCCTTCCTGCACGCAGCACCAGTGACCCGGGTTGCCTGGCCCTTTTTCCTAGGAAGCCCCAGGCACCCGGGTTCCTTCCTGCATGCAACACTAGTGACGTGGGGTGCCTGGGTTCCCCTTTTTCTTTCCCCGACGCCCAGGTTCCTGTTGCAGTCATCTCCTAATGATCCGCTTCCTTCCAGTGACCCCGGACGCCTGGGTTCTTCCCGCGTTCAACATCATTCACTGGATGCCTGGGTCTTCTCTCTTCCCCCAGGACCTTGGACTCTCCTGGGTTGCTTCAGCATGCAGCACTGGTGAGGCCAGATGCCTGGGTTCCTCTTTCTTTTTCCCCTGAACCCTGAATGCCTGGATTCCTGCTTTTGGCAACTAGCCTCAGTCACCCCCGTGTCTGGATTCTGCTTTCCAGTGACCCTGGACATATGGGTTCTCTTCCTTGTACCTCTTGGGATCCCAGATACCTTAGTTTCAGCATGACCCCCAAGACCCCCAGACACCTGGGTTCTTCTTCTCCACTCAGTCTTTAGCCTGTTTATTTTTCACTCTGCATATCCCACTTGCTCGAGTTCCTACTGCTGTGTGCAGTTTGGGGGGGGGGGGGGGGCCTCGGGCTCTCTGCAGCCACTTGGGTTTTTCTTCCGGTAGGTGCAGCCTAGAGACTTGGTTTGGCATGGGGGGGGGGGGGCATTGGGGCACAGCTGGGACCTTCTGCACCACATCTCCCAGCTGGGCACTGGGGGACACCTGCCACCAGTTCTCACCTCAGAGAAAACTCCCCCCCCAAAAAAAATACACACACCCAGACCAGTCCATCAGCTTCCCATGAGCCTCTATGGCTCCAAGAACTCCCCCATGCCTTGTGCTGCCTCTTTGATTACCCATGAAAAGCCCTTTCTGAAAAGAACCCCATGGAGGTGTGGTGGGAGAAACCTCCCTAAGGCTCGTTGTCTAGCTGTAATTTGATTGACAGACAACGCGGGTAAAGAAAGACAGCTGTTTATTTGCTCGAGCAAAGACCATAAAGCCAGCAAAAGGCAAAATGCCCCCCCCAAAGGGTGATCTTTTATACTTATTACAACAAGGCAAGACTTCACGGTTAACAAAAAAAGCAATACTTGGGCGGTGCTTTTCAAATCTTTGTAACAGCATATTTCTATTAAGCTGAACTAGCACTTTTTTAAAAGCTAAAAGTTAAGTAACAGTAACATTATAATATGTTAGCAAAACCTTACACAGTAGTAGATACTTCTCAAGGACACAACCAGTGCACCCAGAACAATGGTTTCCCTGTCTTATCTTACTTCTTGCTGTAGCTGATTTTTCAGCACACAGACACAGAGATACTTGCTGCTTTTAACTCAGAAAATGCTTAATACAGTTAAAATGATTACTTGACACAAGCAAAGGCTTAGCTATCAATCTGCCTTGTGGTCAGCTGCATTGCTAGGCCACAGGTCATGCCTTGTATTCAGCTGTAAAGCTAATACTTCCTAATAATCTAAATTATTGTAAACCTAACAGTATGCTTATCAGAAAACTATTCTATTTCAGGGTAATAACAAACCTGCACACTACAAATCCTCCCTTTGTTCCAATTTTTCAGGAGAAATTTTGGAACACACTTTTAGGTATTTAACTTCTTGTGGGGTTAGGTTTTGATGATTGATGCTGGATATTTGTACAAACTGACCATACTCACCTCAGAGAAAACTCCCCCCCCCAAAAAAAATACACACACCCAGACCAGTCCATCAGCTTCCCATGAGCCTCTATGGCTCCAAGAACTCCCCCATGCCTTGTGCTGCCTCTTTGATTACCCATGAAAAGCCCTTTCTGAAAAGAACCCCATGGAGGTGTGGTGGGAGAAACCTCCCTAAGGCTCGTTGTCTAGCTGTAATTTGATTGACAGACAACGCGGGTAAAGAAAGACAGCTGTTTATTTGCTCGAGCAAAGACCATAAAGCCAGCAAAAGGCAAAATGCCCCCCCCAAAGGGTGATCTTTTATACTTATTACAACAAGGCAAGACTTCACGGTTAACAAAAAAAGCAATACTTGGGCGGTGCTTTTCAAATCTTTGTAACAGCATATTTCTATTAAGCTGAACTAGCACTTTTTTAAAAGCTAAAAGTTAAGTAACAGTAACATTATAATATGTTAGCAAAACCTTACACAGTAGTAGATACTTCTCAAGGACACAACCAGTGCACCCAGAACAATGGTTTCCCTGTCTTATTTTACTTCTTGCTGTAGCTGATTTTTCAGCACACAGACACAGAGATACTTGCTGCTTTTAACTCAGAAAATGCTTAATACAGTTAAAATGATTACTTGACACAAGCAAAGGCTTAGCTATCAATCTGCCTTGTGGTCAGCTGCATTGCTAGGCCACAGGTCATGCCTTGTATTCAGCTGTAAAGCTAATACTTCTTAATAATCTAAATTATTGTAAACCTAACAGTATGCTATCAGAAAACTATTCTATTTCAGGGTAATAACAAACCTGCACACTACAGAGGGAATCGGAGAGTTGGAGTTGGTTCAATAGGCTCAAGTGACCCACAGATGTCCTGGCTTCTTCAGCTCTGGCTATGGAGACCTCTGCTCCCACAGCCCCATCAAGAGCAGTCCCTGGGGGGTCACCTGACACCCATGTCTGTTACTCAGATGCCCTGGGGTCCCTTGGGGGATCAGTAGTGCTGCATGATACGCAGCAAGACTATCTTGTTACTGTCATGATGTCCAGCTATCATTGTAAGTTGTCGTGATAACCAGTGATAATGTTGTCATGCTGTCATGATAACCACCATGCTATCATGGTAACTAGTGATACTGCCATGGTGCCATAACTGATAGTATCACTGGTGACTGTGGTACTATCGTAATGCTATTATAACCAGTGAAACTACTGTGATATTACAAAGATACTATCATGATAGCCAGCAATACAACCATAATGATACACTGATGCTACTACTGCGATACTGTCATGATAGCCAGTGATACTATCGTCATGCTGTTATAACTAGGGATACCATCATGACACCCAGCAATACAATTATAACAATGTTGTGATAATCAGTGATACTTTCATGATACCATTATGCTAGCATGGTAACCAGTGATACCACTGATACTACCACAATACTAGCTTGATGCTCTTGTGAGAACTAGTTATACTATTGTGATACAGGATACTATCACAATAACTATTCATAATATCATAATACTAACAATGCTATCAGGATAACCAATAATGTCTTCTGGTAACCTTCACAACAACCATGCCCTCTGATTGACTAATGCAGCTAACTACTGCTCTTAACCAGTTCTGCTACCATGATACCCAGTGATACTATCAGAATGCTGTAAGAACTAGTGACAGTGGTGACACAATCACGATACTATCATACTACCGTGATAGTCGGTGATACTATCATGGCACTGCTGTGATACCCAATGATTCTACTGTGATACTACTGATATTGTGATGCTATTGGCAATGCTGTTTTGCTAATGCTGCGATACCAAGTATGCCGTTGCAAGAGCAGTATGATACACAACCCCTGAACTTCTCTAGCTGGGGAGTTCTCTAAATAGAAGTCTATTTACTTCAGGCAGGGCCTGCCTTGGGCTGGGCTGGGAAGGGCAGTGAAGCATGATTCCACCTCAATGTGCCAGGCTACTAGAAATGATGGGTAGGCTTTAGGCTCAGCCAAGCCTTTTGGCAGTGATTAAGCCATGAAAAAGCAGCTGACTTGTGCTAGCTTGTATAGAGGGAAGCTGGCTCTTACGTCGTTTCGGGGGTGTGGAAGTGGCTTTCCTTGGAATGACTGAGAGGACAACTTACAGGCAAGGGTGGAAAGCCAAAAACCTTAGTCAGGTTGATGATTTCACCCTGGAAGGGCGTCAGATTGTGAGTGATGGACTGCGGTCAGGCCCAGACCCTGGTCTGGAAGTGCAGAGAATGCATGGAGCTGCATCTCCCATTCAGAGTGGCCAGGGACTGGTTCTTCCAGATTTCTGGGCTTTGCTGGTTGCCACATTTAGCCAGGAAGGAAGTTTTCCATCTCTTGTTGCCATGATCATTGGGGTTTTTTCACCTTCCTCAGCAGCACTGGGTGTTGGCTATGGCTGGGGATGGTCACTGTGAGGTGTCAGCGCTCCTGCTCAGATTCCAGCCTGAAGGGTTCTGGCTAAAGAGTCTGTTCCCTCTGCTCAGGGTAAGCCTGATCGCTGTGTTTTGGGTCAGGAAGGACCTGAGCCCCTCGATCAGTGCAGATTTACCTGGGGTGCGTTGGGGTGTGTTTGATGTTCTGGCATTGTGCCTTGCTGTGCATGAAGGGTGTTCCCAGAATTTTTCAGAACAGGTTAGACAGACTCTCGTCTAGGATGGGTTCAGACAGGGCTGATCCTGCCTTGAAGCAGGACTTAGACCAAAGGTGACCTTCCAAAAGTCCAGCTGGCCCAACCATTCCCACATTTAATGGTAGATTTAATGGCCGATTTGTGGATATTCAGTTCAGCCTCAAGTGACAACCCAGTGCTGCTGAGTACATTGTTAGTAAACCTGAATACTCTGAACTAAATTGCATGGGCAAAACATCAGAAATCATGAGTATGCTGAAGAAACGAGTATGGCACCACAGCAACTGGACTGTTAAGATCAAGGTCAACGAATATCATGCTTGAGGCCATTTACATGGCACTGAATCCTGGACCGCATGCTCTACTCAAGAAAAGTGCCTCAACAGCTTCCATTTAACATTCCTAGAATGTGGCAACGGTAATTTCCTGGCAGGATAATGTTGTCTACACTGACATCTTGGAATGTGCCAACATCCCGAGCGTCCATTCTTTTCTCAGCATCAACTTTGATGGCTCTGTTATATGTGGGGAGTGGACGATGGCTGTATATCCAAGGATCTCTTGTATAGAGAACTCCTTACCGGAAGGAATTTTACTCCCTGGTCAGATTGGTATAGACGATGGGGGTTTTTGCCTTCCTCTGGAGCAGTGTGTGTGGGGGGGGGGGGGGGTCCTCTACATGGGATGTCTTGAGCATGTATTAACAAACTTAGCAGCAGGACATTGACATACTTTACCTGTGGTAGGTTTGGATGTCATGTCTTATATTGTATCATGGTTGACTGTAGCTTTGGTAAGAGATTAGACAATGGATTTGTATGGGATGGTTTGGATAGGGACGACCCTACCTCAGGCAGGGGGTTGGATTAGATGACCTCTCAAAGTCCCTTCCAGCCAGAGTTCTCTGTGACTCTACAATACACTCTTTTTGGACTATAGAAACATACTAAATGTTGTAAATAAAACTCAAACCACAACAGGGTAGAACTTGTGCTGGGATCAGTGCTATTGAACATATTCATGAATGGTCTGGAACTACAGGAATTACAGAAGGAGGCTGGCATGATTGTGCAAATGGGGAGCTACATGGCAGATGGAATTCAATGTAGAGAAGTGTAAAGTGATGCATGTAGGAAAAATAGCCCAAACTACCTACCTTAGGATGGGCTCTACATTCACTTTTACCACACAGGAAAGACTTAGGAGTCATTGTGGACAGTTCACGTAAAAAAAACCTAAGTTCAGTGTTCAGCAGTTATCAAGAAGGCAAACAGCATTGCAAAGGTGATTAAGAAGGGATTTGTGAACAAAACAGAAAGTATCATTAAGCCCCTTTAAAAATCCCTGTTGCATCCACACCTTGAATACTGTGCCCAGTTTTGGTCCCTACACCTCAAAAAAGACATAGAGGAATGAGAGAAGGTTTAGAGAAGGACAACAAGGATGAGTCGTGGTATGGAAGGAGATACTGAAGAAGCTAGGCCTACTAAGGTTAGCAAAGAGATGCTCGGTGGAGAACACGATAAGGGTTTACAAAATACTAAACGGTAAAGAGAAAGTAGCGATTTATTATTTACTAGCTTGCACAAGAAAAGAACTAGGAGGTCACAAAATAAATCTAGCAGGTAGTAAGTTTAAAACGAACAAAATAAGTTCTTTTTCACACGGTGTGTCAATAAAGTGTGGGACTTGTTGCCACGAGATGTTGTGGAAGCTGACAGTTTAGACAAGTTAAAAAAAAAAAAAGGGACAAATTTCTGGAGGAAAAGTGCATTGCTAGCTACTGAACATGGGAAAAAGGGGCATGGCCTCTGAATCAAAACTTCCTAGACCTTAAATGCTGCAGGGGAGAGAGGAACAGTGGAAAAAACTCTGGTCAGATCCTGTTCACTCTCCCTTTCAGCATCCACTTTTTCTGTCCCTGCGGGACACAAGATACCCGGCAATACGGATCTGTGGTCTGACTATGGGTTCATAATGTTTCGGACTCCCTGGATTCCTATTCGAATTATGCATCAGTGTTTACACCCCCCCCCCCCCCCCCCCCCGCTGATATTGTGTAGCACCCTGGGGCACCCTTAAAAAGATCTTGCAGCACCCTGTTAACATTGCCCTTTTACCTTCAGTCAAGAGGAGGTGTTTTGACCGTTTCCTCACTCCCGGTTTATGGCTCCCCTCATTGGCATCTGCTCTTTCTCCAGCCTCTGAGCACTGCCAGGGTAAAGGCAGGAACCAACCAGCCTTGCTGTCCAGAATTTCAAACCCTGGGTGTTCCCTGTTAGGAAAGAAAAAATAATAGAAGTGGAGCCTGGTGAATCTGAATTGAGGCAGTGGCAGCAGAGTACCCCTTTGCATCAGAAGGCTCACACCTGAATCCCAGCAGGGAGGTAGCTCCAGGTGAAAGCTACAGTCAGGGAGGTGTTGCACACACGCACTCTCTTACTTCCAGGTAATGACTGATGGTGAAGTGCTGGAGGTACTGTTGGGACACTCAAGAAGGTGAGATTTACCTTTACGAACCTGAGTAAGTGATGTACACTTAACTATAATGACTGCCAGATTTATGTTACGATGCAATGTCTTTTGACTATTTTGACTTTTTTTGCCTAACTTTATCAGGGCCCGCTCCAATGGTTACATTTGGTTGTGCTTTGATCACAGATTCAGTGATATAGTGCTAGGCCCCTTGACAGACGAGTACATCTTCTTGAACATAAGAACTGTCATTTATGGGTCAGACCATAGGTCCCTCTTGCCCTGTCTCCTGTGGCACACAACGGCAGAGAGTCTGAGCTGAAAGGGAGAGTGAACTGGGGATGACCAGGGTCTTTTCCCACCTATTGATTCCCCCGACTTGCAGCCTCCGGCATTTCGAGCCTAGGAAGCTCTACTCCCGAGGCCGTACCCCTCACTCCCGCGCTCGTTAGCTACCGACCCCTCCAGGAACGTGTCCAGTCTCTTTGTGAATATGGCTAAACTGTCAGCTTCCACCACATCCTGTGGCAACGAGCGCCGACTTTAATGAGACGGTGTGAAAAAACTTCCTTTTGTTAAGTCTTAAAATTATGACTGACTTATTGCAAGCTGCGACCCCTAGGCGTTGTGTTGCAAGACAACAAATAAGAAATCCCCATCTACTGTCTCTTTGCTATTTAATATTTTGTAAGCCCTTCTCACGTCCCCTCCCAAGTGTCCCCTGTCTACACTAAACAGACCTAGCTTCTTTAGTCTCTAGTTTCTCTTTAATGGGGACATGGTGACATATGAAGCAACACACCGTTTGCCCTGGTGGCAACAAACTTGCCCCTCAAAAGCAATGGTGGGCGGAGACTGCACGGGGTGGGAGGTGATGTAGAGGGAAGATGGGAGGGGGCTGGAGGCGGCACTGTCGCAGGCGAGGGGGCAGGGGGTCACTGCCAGGACGTCAAGCGCTGCCTTGTGGGAGGCAGAGGGGCACTATGGGACGCAGGAGGACTAGCTTTGTGCACAGCATGGAGGGGCGAGCCGCCCACGAGGGGCAGAGCAGGGCCTGCTGGGAAGGCAGGGCTGCAGGCGCGGTGCATTGTGGGATGGAGAGAGGCACCGCGGCGCGGGGCATGCCGGGATACACCCCCCTGCCTTTCCTAGCTTGAGAGGCTGTGAAGGCGGAGATACCCCCTGCGTGGTGCATGCCGGGATATGACATGCTTTGCTCCTGGAGTACAGCCGCAGGGAGCCCCGCGGCGCGTTGCATGCTGGGATATATCCCCCTTAGCGCGGTGCAGGCCGGGATGCGCCCCACGCGCCCCTCCCCTCCTCTGGCGCGGTGCAGGCCGGGAGCGCCCCCAGTTGGTGCCGGGCCATGGGGCTGCGCGGGCGAGCGCGGCG